TCAACAACAACTATACAAATGTGAGCTCAGTGCAGACTAGATGCTGACTCACTGCAGCCTCTTGTGGTACAAAGTGGTATTACATGAGAGTACAGGCTGACATTAGCTGGATGCTAACTTCAGTTCATATATAGATGTGTTGAACATGACGTCAGAGATGTTTTCTTTATATTCTGTTGATGTTTTGAAATATTTCAAAGTGTCTCCAAGTTAAATGTTGAACCTTTAATATAGCGACACTTAGAGCTCTGAAGCCGTTTTCTCTCTTTTACTATTCAACCAATAAGTTACTGAGTAAGTTATTTTATCTGTAATTAAAGTCATCAACACTTAAAGCTTTATATGAAATATTTGTTTTTCAAATAAAAATACAACTTCCATATAAATGCAAAACTAAATATATATGACTCACATAACACAATTAACATTTAATGTCTTTCTGTCACTTTCACATACACAGAGGTATAAAAATGTCCTTCTGATGTTCCAGCTGATCAGAACCTTTAAAATTCTTATTAATCAAACATATTTTTTGCTGAACTTTTACAAACAAGACATTTACTGAAGTTTTAGGACCAACAGGCTGATGAATAAACCAAGTAAAGCAAAGTAAAGACAAGCTGCACTTTGACTTTTATTAGAACAATTTGCTGGAACTACAGAGTAATGAAGTACTTCAAGGTTTTGTGTGGATGACTTCCAACCTTACTGTACAGCACAGAGCACAGAGGGACAATATATGTAATCAATATATGATGCAGAATGAACAAGTAAAGACTGTAAGCTGAGTCTGAGGCTCATGCAGGACATTTCATAGTGAGGTGTCTTTGGTTGGATTATTCAAACATTTACATCAAAGCACCAAACTCATTTCTCACAGATGAAGGTCTTGAATTAGAATAATATGACCGTGTCCATCTCCCATCACCGTCACAACAAGCTGCATAGTAAGCCAAACTGTCACTCTGCTGTCCTGGTGCCCAGAAGCTGTCAGAGAGATCAAATATGATATTAAACTGGACTAAATTGTTTCTGCTTTTCTTTACATTCAGTTTGTGGGGCTGGTGAAAAAACATCTCAACTCATGTTTTGCTGATCTAACTTCTATGTATGGTTCTGATAACTTCTGGAATAACTGCGACAGCATTGTAATATGAAATAGTCTCACGTTTCTGTCACCAGTGATCCATCCACCCATTTCCATTCATGTTTCTGAGAAGTGCGTTCCAGACCAATCCAGGACTCTCCTCTCATGTTCAGTTCATTGACAAATTCCTGTTTGAGAAGAGACACAAATATTGTCTCCAGTCATAATTCAGCACTTCTGTTGTAGTGACATCATCTTGTGAACATGTCTGAAGGAAGAATAACTGTGATGAAACTTTTCTTCCATTGTGCAGAAATCAGAAAGAGCCAAAGAATCAATGAATATCAGCTCCTCCTGTAGCTCAGATAACAAACTCAGCCAACATTTCATTTTACTGAGTTTTATTTAACAAAAACAAAAAAGAGAGAATTATATTTACCATTTTTTTAAACTCTACATTTCAATCAAGTATTTTGTTCCATAAATTCGTCTTTGCTTTAGAAATTTGTTAAATAAAATGTCTGAATTTGCAACATTACATTTGAAATGTTAAAAACATAAACTCCCAATATGGAAACAAAATAACCAAACACAGAAATCCATCAGAGTGGAGACAGGAAGCAGGTCACAGACTGACAGCAGCTCCATCAAAGATCACACAGACATGAACAAACACACCCACCTGTTCCTCTCTGCTGTTTATCATCACCAGATCAGCTCCTTTATCCTGACAAAGTTTTCGACTCTCATACCAAGTTTTAGTCTCATTGAACTTAAAGTAACAGCTGCTTCCAAACCTCGTCCATCGATCAGGACACTTCTCTTAAAGTCAAACACATGTTTTAAAGACAGACGTAATTTCACTGAGTATCAAACTGAAAAAATCTGTAATGTCCATGTATTATTATAGTTATATTCTCCTTTTCCCCCAACATGATTTAAATTCATTTGAACTCAGCACAAAACATTTATAATTAAAAATGATTCAGTCAGGTGATCAGTGTGTAAATCTGATGTTTTTAACATTTGTTTAACATCTCTAACCTACTACTGTGTCCTGTGGCTTTCTTCATCCTGTAGCTGTTTAGATTTTTAGATAATAATCATATCATAACTGATCTGTAGCTGCTGCAACTGACTGTTGTCAGCTTCATACTGAGAAACAATTGATGAAACAGTCAAAGAACTTGATAAACATGTTTTTACTTATTTGTTTTTCTTACCTGCACAGTTGTTGTTTTGGTTCTGCAGCTGCTGTTTTATCAAAGTAACTAAAATATGTGTTTAGAAATTTAACAAGAAACAGACTGAAAACATGAAATCTACAACCGTGAAACACAACAACATCACAACAATGACTGAAAATCACACTTTTGTATTCACTGTCTTTGTAATTTACATGTGGATGTTTCTCCTCTGGTGGAAACAGAAGTGAAGCGCACAGCTGAAAATAATAAACTCATAAATGTCACTCTGCCAGGAAATCTTACTGCATTATCAAATATTTATCAGCCAATCGTTTAAACTCATCTGAAAAATCAGATATGCATCATAGAGAACAGCAGGAAAAGAAACAATAACACGTAAAACTGTTTTCAGCATGAAATGATGTTGGTCTGGCTGAAAGCAACTGAAATGTTTAAACAGGTATCAAAAAAAATAAAATGAGTGAAACGTTGAACAGAAATAATCTTCTTCCTCTGCTTTGTCAAATATCAATAAGAGTCAGAAACTTGCAGCCATTGTTCTTTAACATGTCCTGTGGGTGGAGGTGTTAGAACTACAGGAAATCTGATGAGCTAAATACGTATCAACTGTGAACAAAAACCACTGACAAGATTCAGAATAATTGTGCTTCAGTGTGGAGGAAGGTGTTAGAAATGCAGTCAGAGATGTTATCTTTAGGTTTTTGAAAGAACAGACAAGCTGCCGTGGGAATCAACACTTCCTCATATCAAAGGTATTTCCATGTGATCAGGTACTTCCTGTATTTGCTGTGGCAGAAGGAGACATTCTGGTTGTGAAGCTGCATGTTTGTTGGCTGCTGGGATTCAGTATCAGTCATACATTCATTTGCAGCCAAGATCCCATCTTTGTAGCTCAGACTGCTGAAGACTCACACTGACTGACTGCAGCATCTCATATAGCACACACAGCATCAGTGTCTATGATACAGTAACAGACTGAACTTTGACCTGTTGTTATGACTGTCATCATATTTGTGTCATTTTGTGTAACTGCTGTGTTTTTCTGTCCTTCATGCAAAGCTCTGCATGCTGCGCCTCAGCTGTGACTGAATGAGAGGATGATAACGGGCATGTGCAGGTACTCTGCTGTGATTGGTGCACCAACATGCAGCTTTATGATTACATAAAGAGCCAAGATGGCCGCCGTTTGCAGAGGACTCATTCAGCTTTTCCTTGTTCCAACCTGCCACACCTGTGCAGCTCTCACTCTGTGTTTCCTGTTTCACTCTGAAGGAGTTTGTAGGGCTGAGCTGCCTTTGACTGTGAACAGTTTCTCCTGTTTATGTTAGTTTGGGAGGTCAGCTGAAGTTTGCTTATTTCTCTGATACTAATTTTATCAGTTGCATTTGTTGATCTCTTTAATAATTAGAGTAAATATTGACAATAACACCCAGTCCAGTCAAAGGAGTCCCTCAAACCAGTGTTATCCTTATGCCAACAACAAACAGGGATAAATGGGGAGGGTTGTGTCAGGAAGGGCATCTGGGGTACAATGTCAATTCAAACATATAGATAATCACTAAGATTCCTACACTGGTGGTGCTGTTGCTCAGCAGTTTGCCAACAGTGAAAGAGAAGGAAAGGCTAAAATATAGAGGTGATCTCAGATACTCTAAACATAGAAGTAAGACTGATAAATGGAATGATGTGGCTGATATATCCAAATGAAGGAAGGTAGATTTGTGTGCAGAAGACCAGATAGAAGGGAAGCAAGGCCTGGAGCACTTACGTTCACACTGCAGGTCTTAATGCTCAATTCCAATCTTTTGATCAAATCCTATTTCTTTTGTCTGGTTGTTCACACTACAAATAAAATGTGATGGCAAACGCGCTCTAGTGTGAACTGTTCACGGCCCTCAAAGCTGCCCGCATGAGCAAAAGAAGACGTCACACACAACACGCTCTGTTTACAGAAATAAAAATGGCGGCTTCAGAGCTAGTAGGTGTTGTTGCAGCAGTCTATCAATTTCTGCACAGTCGTAACCAACACAATTTTCACAAATTAATTACAGAAAGAAGGACACTGAAAAAAAAAAAGAAAAAGAGCCTGTGATTTAACAATGGCCTTGTTTGGAGCAGTGGCTGCTACCACCGTGCAGAGGTGTATATGGACACGGAGTCGTTTAACTTGAATAGAATTCTTTCACCATATGCCAATCAAGTCCAAAACCTCATTTTTTTTCCATTGACTCGCTCCGTCTCCAGTTTCTGCTGCCATGCTTCCTCGTTTGTCTTCTCTGGCGCTGGTAATTGGCATCCGTCTTGCGTCAGTGACGTAAAAGACGGATGACATGACCATTCAAACAGCAGTTGCTTTCTAAAACATCAGATATATATCGGATTCAGTACCACATACGAAAGTGACCCAGGTCCCATTTGAAAACATCGAATTTGTGCTGTTCAAAGTGTCATACCATGATCGGATACGAGTCGCACAGGGTCAAAAAGGTCAGATTTGCTGCACTTTCACCTGCAGTGTGAACGTAGCCTTAGACGAAGTCAAGCAGTTCTGCCAATAAGGAAGGATAATCTTGAAAGAAGAGTATCTAAGCAGAGGTGACGGGAATGCTCTACACAATCATGGATTTGAAGCTGTAAGTTGAAGGTATGATGTTGATATTGTCGGTGTGTGAACCCCACAGGTTGGAGGTCAGTTAGAGGAGAGAGGAATTCTGGAGTAAGGTGGATGCAGTGGAAGAGCCACTTTATCCAAGAGTGGTGATTAGAGCAGACTTCAGTGGACATGTAGTTGAACAGAGGTGTTGGGTAGGGATAATGTGAAGAAGGGAAATGTAGAAGGACAGATGGTACTGGACCTTTTAAAAGAAAGGATGGAAATGGCAGTGGTGAACATAAGTTTCAAGAAGACACAGGAACACAGGCCGGTAGAGAGGAGCACACAGAAGGACGAGATCTTATTGTATCTTATCTTACAGTGTATGGAGAGGATGATGATCCCAGCTAACATCAGGAGGCACAGCACTCTTAGACCCAGTGTAGCACATCTGAAAGAGCCCTTCAGGACTGAAGGAGGATTCTGAGTCTGTGGTCCTGTTAGAAAGCAGTGTGGATGTTGGTTTGTGCTTATTTCCTGTCAGTCTGTGGTTAACAGACCTGTGGTTGTGGTTGTATCAGCAACTTCAACAAAAGAATCAGATACCAAAATATATCTTTATTGTGATTAACCCTCAACCAACCAAACTATTTATGCAAGACGTCAACTGACTAAAGTTATAGAGCGGGTCGTTTATGACCTTACATTTTAGAGTAATATATTCTAAGTGGCTCTTTATTTTTTTATCATACACATACTGTTTTTATTAGCTGTCAAACATATTCTAACCTGATATCATTATTTTTGTTTTATTAAAAACCAAAAAAGAAAAAAAGAAGCGGTCTTGTTTAGAAAGAATAAGTTTTCTGAAACTGCGCTTGTGTCTGAAAGCTAGCAGCTGTTCCTGCACACAGAGCTCAGCAGCAGGCAGATAGTATTTGAGTAACAGTTACAAACATTGTCTGAACATCCCTGAAAGCAGCAGCGTTGTCCATAACCATCCACTGTGCTGGTTTATCATTAAGTCTAAATGTGTTTTCTATGCAGAGCCAACTGTAGAAACAGGTAATATGAAGAAATCATGCTGCATAAGAAAAGAGCAAATCAGGTAAAAGGTTCATACAGCACATGGAGATGATTGATGGGCTGCAGTTCATTGGGATTAAAAGCTGACTGTAACAAACTGGAAGCAAACAGATTATTACAGGTGACTTACCTCCTCCTTGTGATTGAATTCCAGTGTGAGCAAAGTCTGCACTGTCGTAGATACACGTAGTATAGATATCCACCTCCCTCTGCTCCCACTCTGCTCCGTCCTCCTTTCTGCTGTTTCTCACCTTCTTTGATAGATCTGGTTTGGCATAAATATGTGAGGACATCTTGAGAGGACTGAGACACTGAGCAGGAGCTTAAACTGCACTCTAACCGTTGTGCACTGCTAACTCTGGCAGATACAATGATATACTGTCCTGACACTGATGTCACTTTTGGCCGGCCTTCTTCCTGCTTTCAGAACGGAAGAAACTTTTCAGAAGCAACAAAGAAACACAAACCCACAAAACCTCGGCTGTGCTGAGAGGAGCATTTCTTTGTCTTTATATTTGTAAAGCCTGAGACAAACTATAAAAACACTTGTTTAACAAAAGAATAAGTGCTTTTCTCAATAAAAAGTGAGCTTAGAGATATGGTAAATGGTCAATGACCTGTATTTGTATAGTGATTTACTTGGTCCCTAAGGACCCCAAAGCGCTTTAAGCATCCAGCCATTCACAAACACATTGACACAAGCTACACTGTAGCCACAGCCGCCCGGGGCGCACTGGCAGAGGCGCCAGCACAAACAAATTCAGCCTTTCGCTTGTACTTTCTCAGCTCCACTTTTATTTCTGTTGCATTTTAGAGAAACACACCATTTTGACTGCTTAAGATTGTAGAAGCTTTCATTAGATCATCTCTCAGTCATTAAGCGCTAAAACAATGATGTGACTCTAATGTTCCCATTACTGCCACCATCATGCCAAATCTTATTTAGGTATTTTTCAGATTTCCTTGTCCTTTTGTTCAAGACCTGGCAAACATGGGGACCAGCCAATGGTATCAATTCCTTTAAAAATGTATTGATATATTAAAAAAAAGATCTAATATTGATTTTCACCTTTTACCATTTCAGACAGGTTTTTTCAGATTTTCCGAACCTTCTGATGTTATTATGCACTGGAGATGATGATTCTTCTGTAATATATACTTTATATAAATTTAATTTAAATGTAATTTATAAATTTAAGTACTGCATAAGTAATTTTAAGGAGTGTGTGATTTCATGATGTTTGTAATTGTAATGTGAAGGCTGTGTGCAGGCATGAGTGGTGAAATGGAGGACCCACATGAACAGAACACACATGCATCAA